CCGTACAGCGTGAATTAAATTTCCCAGCTTATGAAGAGACTCTCAAATTTGACATAAATTGTGCAACATTCCAAAGGAAATTGAAACGTACTGGACCAGGCTTTATTTTGTTGCGCATTTTGCAGAAATTCCGTGAAACTCACAAGCGTGACCCCTGTTACAAATCGAGAGAGGAAGACAAAAAGGAATTGGAAAATATTCGCAATGAAATCACCAAGGATACCGTTGTACCCAACGAATACTTTGAACATGTTTTCAGCCAAATTTCACCCGCAGCAGCAGTTGTTGGCGGAGTGTTGTCTCAAGAGATTATTAAGGTCGTGACTAAAAAAGAGGCGCCAAATTGCAATGTATTTCTTTTTGACCCGGAGACTTGCTGCGGCTTTATAGAGACAATTGGTGCAACAAACTAATGTATTACAATTATTTTGAATATTTTTTTTTTCTACCTTTTAAAAACCTAACAATTTACTATATAAAAACAAGAAATAGAAACTAATAATTTCTTTGAAATAAAAAATGTATATTTTTTGAAAAAACACACATAAACCACATTTGTAATGTTTTAAATACAATTAAATATTTGTTTTCTTTAATTTTGCAAGTTGTTTATGTTCTCCAAAGTCCTGCTCCATTATATTATGTAACTTTTTTCAAGCAGTAGTATCGTCCTGTCTTATATCTAAGGGATATTGACCAAGTAGTCTTTTACGGTGGCTGGATCCAAACGCTTGAAACCGTTACGGTCGCAAATACCAACTTCTATATTATCTGCAGTCATTTTGCCTTCGAATCCCTCCTTCAGGGTTAAAATGGCTGTGTGTACGGCATCATCGAGTTCCAAATCTTCGCTGTAACTGTTAAAATATTTGCGAAATAATTAATCTTTCTTACATCTAAATATGCATTCACAAATTTACCGTTTCTCCAGGAATGTTTTGCCATTTACAGCATTTTTACCCATTGCTGTAGCTTTCCAGGCAAAGTATGCACCAGAGGGGTCACATTGGAACAAGTATGGGCGGTCGTTGTCCCAACCGCAAATAAGTAATGATACTCCAAAAGGTCTTACACCACTAAAAAGGAGAATGGAAATTATGAGAAATTTGCAAAGCAATCTCAATAAAAAGTACTATTTATAGACACTTACCCACTCTGGGTATATTCCTGCATTAGAGTTGCTACACGCTGTACTAATTGAGCCACTGGTATTGGTTCTTTGTATGTAAGATAATAGTTTTGTGCAAGTTTTCGAGCTTGCTTAACTAAAAGGCGATAGTCTGGACCCATACCGGAATACACCATACCAATGTGACCGGATATCATTTCAACACGATGAACACTGTGCTCTTCATACAAAACAGATTTATGCTTGTTTTCCGTTGCAATAACGACTCCATTAGAAGCTTAAAAGAAAAGTGTAACTACGTTAGCCAATATTTTACATTAGTTTACTTTCAATTACAACTTACCCATAATTCCTACAGAAGGGGCACCGGCCGATACAGCAGCTAGAGCATATTCCAATTGTACCAATTTTCCCGATGGACTATTGGTTAAAAACAAAATATTTGTAAGAAATTGATGCATTTAAAATAATTGTAAAGTCATGGTGTAGGTTATGTTTTGATTGTTGGTATAGCGGCAAATTTTTATTTACTTAAAATTTATTTGCAAAATAATTTCTTACCTAAATGTGGTTAGTGAGAAACTGTAGCGTTCTGATGCCATTTTTAGGGATTCTTAATATGAATGCAAAATTTTCTTCAAAACTAATTTAAACGCGAATACCAAATATCGCGAAATGTTTTTTTTTCTTCAACAAAGTAAACTAAAAAATGACACAGCAAAGCTGCAAACAAAATGTCAAAATTAATGTGAAAACATTGCCAGACCATTTACAAAACACGTTTAACACTAAGTCGACCATGCATGGTCAATAAAACTCGTGTTAAATTATAAAATGATTCGTCAAAATAAGTAAGTAAGTAAGTAAGTAAGTAAGTAAGTAAGTAAGTAAGTAAGTAAGTAAGTAAGTAAGTAAGTAAGTAAGTAAGTAAGTAAGTAAGTAAGTAAGTAAGTAAGTAAGTAAGTAAGTAAGTAAGTAAGTAAGTAAGTAAGTAAGTAAGTAAGTAAGTAAGTAAGTAAGTAAGTAAGTAAGTAAGTAAGTAAGTAAGTAAGTAAGTAAGTAAGTAAGTAAGTAAGTAAGTAAGTAAGTAAGTAAGTAAGTAAGTAAGTAAGTAAGTAAGTAAGTAAGTAAGTAAGTAAGTAAGTAAGTAAGTAAGTAAGTAAGTAAGTAAGTAAGTAAGTAAGTAAGTAAGTAAGTAAGTAAGTAAGTAAGTAAGTAAGTAAGTAAGTAAGTAAGTAAGTAAGTAAGTAAGTAAGTAAGTAAGTAAGTAAGTAAGTAAGTAAGTAAGTAAGTAAGTAAGTAAGTAAGTAAGTAAGTAAGTAAGTAAGTAAGTAAGTAAGTAAGTAAGTAAGTAAGTAAGTAAGTAAGTAAGTAAGTAAGTAAGTAAGTAAGTAAGTAAGTAAGTAAGTAAGTAAGTAAGTAAGTAAGTAAGTAAGTAAGTAAGTAAGTAAGTAAGTAAGTAAGTAAGTAAGTAAGTAAGTAAGTAAGTAAGTAAGTAAGTAAGTAAGTAAGTAAGTAAGTAAGTAAGTAAGTAAGTAAGTAAGTAAGTAAGTAAGTAAGTAAGTAGTAAGTAAGTAAGTAAGTAAGTAAGTAAGTAAGTAAGTAAGTAAGTAAGTAAGTAAGTAAGTAAGTAAGTAAGTAAGTAAGTAAGTAAAAGTAAGTTATTAAAAAATAAACCTTTATTACTCGTTTCATAATATTGCAATATTTAATCTTCCTTAAATATTAACTTAGAAAATCGTTTTTAAAAATTTCGAGCAATCCATTCGGTATTTCATAATGACAATTGAAATTTTTATATTTTAATAAATTTTGCCACTTGTTTTCGTAATACATCGAATAAATGGTGAAGAAAACATGGGATATTTCGAACCACATTAGAAAAATATTCACCAACATTTTAAAAGTCCTGATAAGCTTTAAATAATAGAAATCGCATTAAAACATTTAAATAAAATTGGTTGCATTTTTGAACTCACCATAGGATTTGATTCCGCAATTACCATCACTATTGCTGTAGCAAATCCAATAAACGTTATTAAAAGGTGTACAAAAGAAGAAGATCTACATTACCCATAGAGTCCAAACCATTTTTAAATATATAATTAAATAATTTATTTAAGCCACTCAGTTTATTATTTTCACAAAAATTTAATCTTGGCCAGGATAATGCCACCATATGTTGGTTTACCATAATAGAATTTTTTCGAAAAAAGTAATGTATAAAAAATATCTTTAAAAAATATGTTGTTTAAAAAATTTTAAAAATTAGAATTATAGAATTTTATAAAAAGAGAATAAGTGACATGATTTTAAATGTCAAGATAGGGTTTGTTCAGCAATGAATATTTTGAATTTACACCAGTTCTAAGTTTAGAAAGAATGTATTCTATTTATAATTAATTCACCTTAATTATACCCTACACCACTTTAGTGGGGAGGGTATATTGGGTTTGTGCTGATGTTTGTAACGCACAATAATATTGGTCCTACACCCACCTTAAAGTATACCAATCGGCTCAGAATCATTTTCTGAGTCGATTTAGCTATGTCCGTCCGTCTGTCCGTCCGTCTGTCCGTCCGTCTGTCCGTCCGTCCGTCCGTCCATGTAAACCTTGTAATCAAACTACAGGTCGCAATTTTGAAGATAATTCAATGAAATTTGGTACATGATCTTTTATTGTCCCAGGGACGAAGCCTATTGAAAATGGTTAAGATCGGTCCATTATTTCACCTAGCCCCCATACAACTGAACCCCTCGAATAGGGCTTTTAAAACTTGTAATCAAACTACAGGTCGCAATTTCGGAGATAATTCAATCAAATTTAGCACATGATCTTTTGTGGTACCGTAGACGAAGCCTATTGAAAATGGTTAACATCGGTCCATTATTTCACCTAGCCCCCATACAACTGAACCCCCGAATATGGCTTTTAAAACTTGTAATCAAACTACAGGTCGCAATTTTGAAGATAATTCAATGAAATTTGGCACATGATATTTTATGTTACCGTAGATGAAGCCTGTTGAAAATGGTTTACATCGGTCCATTATTTCACCTAGCCCCCATACAACTGAACCCCTCGAATAGGGCTTTTAAAACTTGTAATCAAACTACAGGTCGCAATTTTGAAGATAATTCAATGAAATTTGGCACATGATCTTTTATGGTACCGTAGATGAAGCCTGATGAAAATGGTTTACATCGGTTCATTATTTCACCTAGCCCCCCGAATAGGGCTTTTAAAACTTGTAATCAAACTACAGGTCGCAATTTTGGAGATAATTCAATGAAATTTGGTACATGATCTTTTATGGTACCGTAGATGAAGCCTGTTGAAAATGGTTCACATCGGTCCATTATTTCACCTAGCCCCCTTACAACTGAACCCGCCGAATAGGGCTTTTAAGTTCATAATTATGTTTAATATACTCATATCTCGACAAAAAGCTGCAATAACCAAGTTGTATACAAGACTTGATGACCCCCACGAATTCCATAATAATAGGTTCTCATATGACCCTAGCCCCTATGAAAAGCCCCCATCAAAATTTCACTTAAATGTTCACAATTTTATTCAACAATAAACGGCTTAAGTATGTATATCTAAGGCAAGGTACAATTCAACTTAAATGCTTTATTATGGCAACTAAATCACATTATATTTTTGTCAAAGGTGTAGGGTATTATATGGTCGGCCTCGCCCGACTATAATTTCTTACTTGTTTTAAATTCGTTTTCAATTTTCCATTTGAAACAACTTGCTTATATTGATTAAATAATAAGTTGGTTTATATTTTTTATTATAGAAATTATTATTATTTTTTAAACTTAACCTAAACTTCAATTTTCCATTTGAAACAACTTACTTATATTAATTAAGTAATAAGTTGGCTTATATTTTTTTATTATAGAAATTATTATTATTTTATTAACTTAACCTAAACATGTGAAAAAAAGAGTTTAAAATTAAATTTGTTTGAATGTTATTCACAATTATAATTCAATTGTTTTGTTATGACTATAACTATAAATCGTTTTCAATGTTTTCTGTATAAGAACATCACTGCTTTCTATAAAACCATCCAAATGGGTCCACAAAAACCAAAATATCAAACCATAAAACATAAAAGTTACTAAACGATCTAAGATATATAGACGACGTAAAAACTTTTTCGCTTGTGGTATGGTGGCTTCACTTTCGCCCAATATATAAGTGCGCATACCCATTATATAGGTGCGTATATAAGCCTCCCAATTTACTTGTGAGGTGTCGGTATCGAAAATTTCCTGATCTATACGATTAAGTTTCGTTTGCAGTTGTTGGAATTTTTCACTCTTAAACTCCCATTCCTTCGTTGTGTAATATTGTAACAGTTCCAGACCAGTCGATATTTTGTTTTGTACACGTACTAAACTGTAATAAAATAGAATCGGTTTAACATTTTTACGATCAATTAATATACATAATAAAACAATTTTTGCTTACAAACGTTTACGTCCCATTAGCAGTAATAAAAAATCTATAAAATAAGCTGGTAAATAGTGAAAGAATATAACACAAAACATGTGATGATAATAATTTTTTTTAATCGATCCATCCGGATACCAGAGACCAAAGCTCAATGGTGTTTCATAGAAAAGACGTTTTCCCGTGTCAATACATTCTCCCCACGAATAAAGGGCCTTGCTATTTATGCACAAATTACAAAATTCGACATTTTTCGTTGGCAGTTGAGCACGATGGTAAGCGGCAACAATCATTCCATTTATGGCCTTATCGACTGGTATAACAGTTGACGAATAATCTGGATTGCAATGCATAGAACGTATAACACCTCGTGCGGCACCTATCATAAGACCTGTTGGACCATTTACGCCTTCAATCCATCCGGGGAGAGGTTCTTTTAATGCAGCAGTAACTAGAAGTAGACATTTTGGATGTAAAGGCTTTAATTATAACGAGATATTGTATGATAGATAGATAGATAGATAGATAGATAGATAGATAGATAGATAGATAGATAGATAGATAGATAGATAGATAGATAGATAGATAGATAGATAGATAGATAGATAGATAGATAGATAGATAGATAGATGTAGATAGATAGATAGATAGATAGATAGATAGATAGATAGATAGCTATGATAGATAGATAGATAGATAATAGATAGATAGATAGATAGATAGAAGATAGATAGATAGATAGATAGATAGATAGATAGATAGATAGATAGACAGATAGATAGATAGATAGATAGACTAGGATAGATAGATAGATAGAATAGATAGATAGATAGATAGATAGATAGATAGATAGATAGATAGATAGATAGATAGATAGATAGATAGATAGATAGATAGATAGATAGATAGATAGATAGATAGATAGATAGATAGATAGATAGATAGATAGATAGATAGATAGATAGATAGATAGATAGATAGATAGATAGATAGATAGATAGATAGATAGATAGATAGATAGATAGATAGATAGATAGATAGATAGATAGATAGATAGATAGATAGATAGATAGATAGATAGATAGATAGATAGATAGATAGATAGATAGATAGATAGATAGATAGATAGATAGATAGATAGATAGATAGATAGATAGATAGATAGATAGATAGATAGATAGATAGATAGATAGATAGATAGATAGATAGATAGATAGATAGATAGATAGATAGATAGATAGATAGATAGATAGATAGATAGATAGATAGATAGATAGATAGATAGATAGATAGATAGATAGATAGATAGATAGATAGATAGATAGATAGATAGATAGATAGATAGATAGATAGATAGATAGATAGATAGATAGATAGATAGATAGATAGATAGATAGATAGATAGATAGATAGATAGATAGATAGATAGATAGATAGATAGATAGATAGATAGATAGATAGATAGATAGATAGATAGATAGATAGATAGATAGATAGATAGATAGATAGATAGATAGATAGATAGATAGATAGATAGATAGATAGATAGATAGATAGATAGATAGATAGATAGATAGATAGATAGATAGATAGATAGATAGATAGATAGATAGATAGATAGATAGATAGATAGATAGATAGATAGATAGATAGATAGATAGATAGATAGATAGATAGATAGATAGATAGATAGATAGATAGATAGATAGATAGATAGATAGATAATAGATAGATAGATAGATAGATAGATAGATAGATAGATAGATAGATAGATAGATAGATAGATAGATAGATAGATAGATAGATAGATAGATAATAGATAGATAGATAGATAGATAGATAGATAGATAGATAGATAGATAGATAGATAGATAGATAGATAGATAGATAGATAGATAGATAGATAGATAGATAGATAGATAGATAGATAGATAGATAGATAGATAGATAGATAGATAGATAGATAGATAGATAGATAGATAGATAGATAGATAGATAGATAGATAGATAGAGTTGTTTAAATCGTTACTATTTAAATAAACACCACTGTTTAGAATTGGATTGCAACAAATACATGTTTGAATTTTAAGGTTGCAATGAGAAAACAGTTTGCAAAAAATATTTGTACTCACCAATTGATGGTCTAGTAATTATAGTCGGTAATTTAAGTTCATATCTGCTAATTAAATCTTCAGTTAATGCTTTACTGTAAGCATAAGTATTTGGCAGTCCATTTAAAAGTCTAAGCAAACAAACACAAATAAACTTGTACATAAAACTCTGAAACGAATATGTATAAAAACACTCACTTAGGGGTAATTTCAGCTAAAGCTTTGTCATCCATAGTCTTTAACATTTCAATAATTTCATAAGGATTCTGCGGTGCTGGATACGCTCTTTCTTCCAAAATGCTTTCGTTGCACTAATAAAAATATTTAAAAGTTTAATTTGTATTAAGGTTTATATCTAACGATTGACCTACCTGGCAATAGGATGTTGAGACATGTACAAATACTTTTAAGTTTAACATTTTCCTAGCCAATTCTAATACTTTTAATGTTCCCATAACATTCATTTGTATCATGGGCCTTAATGGTTGATCAAAACGTACGTTGGCGGCACAGTGAAATATGACATCTGTATTATCAATTAAATGTTTGCGATCCTCGTCACTCATGCCAAGTTTATCTTCCATTACATCGCCTTTAATTAGGCGCAATTTTTTCACTATATCTGGATTACTCTCCAAAATTTTGTTGAAAATCTGTAAAGTAAGAATATGGAAACCGCCTTTTTAAGAGTTTTGAAAAGTTATATTTCTATATTATTAATATAATGAACATTGGAAAAGTTTAGAAAGAACAATTATTTTGTTAAATAAAATCATATATTTTAATTTTAGCTTAATATTGGCATATTTAAGCGATTTACTACGTACGTAGGTAGGGCCTACGATAAACTACATAGGTGATAGATAATTGAGTATTTCGTACCGTAAAGAAATTTCTGTGGCAAAAACAAAAAAATAAGCCATAATCTCAAACAAGAAATTCTGATATTTTTATACGATTTTAATAAAATAATTATTTTAAAATCACAAATATAAAATTAAAAATTAAAATAAAATTAAAAATTTTATGTTTAAAGTTTCGAAAACTTATAAAAATTTTGAAATAAAGCCCTTCAATGTTTATTTTTATAAACATTTTATTTATGTTTTCCCAACGTCTGTTGATTCTTTTGGCATTTCCTGGCAAAATTGATTGCCCGCTAATAAACAAAATTAACTAATCGAGTACTCAACAAAACAACATACAAAGATTTAATCACTAATCATTAACCTAAAAATAGGTTATTATTTGTTATTAAATGTTGTCCTTCTTTTTACACATCAAGAAGTTTTGTTTAAAAAGATTTAACATGATGTACTTTACACAAAAGTTATCAGATCACATTATATTTATTTTAATGTTCTTAAATTAACAAGACAAAACTATAAAACTTCAATAATTTTATTTGAATTAAGAATAAGTTTAATGGTTATAAACCGTAAACAATTAAAAACATTTGTTTATAAACACAGTTTGACAATATTTGAACAAACCGAAACAAAGTGCCAATGTATGACAATGTCTTCTTCTTGTGTAGTATGAATATTTGAAACTTAATAATTACAATATGTTGAGATCATAATTTTGATCAAAATCACGATGACATGAACAATTTAACATAAATAATAGCAGTACATAATAAACACATTTTTTTGAGCACTGCATACATATTTAAAAAAAATTAAGTTTAATTTTTAAACTTCATTCCAAAAGACCTTGAAGATTTTAAATTATTATTAAGATTTAGAAAAAAATCCATGCATACTCATAGGTTTTTTTCATTGTAAAACTATTTCCTAACTAAATTTTAGACAATCTTTAAAAAATATATATAATATGCACATGACTAGAACAAGAATTAAAAATGAATTTCATCAATTGCAGTGTGATAGTAGTAGTAATAGTAGTTTTTTTAATTTGTTATTTATTAAACTAAGTACTTACCACACATTTCAAATATTGTTCTTTGCGTACTTCTGGTGTTTGTCCACGTTTCGATCGTATTAGCAAATATATATTCTTAATATCGGGACAACTTCGCAGTAATTTTTCTACCAACACCTTGCCCATAAAACCAGTAGCACCTGTTATAAAAATATTTTTCCCCGCATACCAGGCTGCCACTTGGGACTTATCACTTTCACCCTCCGCATGTAGAACTTCCATAATGTTAAACGTGTAAACAAAAGTCGGGGAAAAATCTAGTATCTCTAGCAGTTAAGATAGTTTACTAGAAATATAAAAAATATATATTAAACATTATTAATTAAATTTAATTATTATTAATTTAAATACATATAAATAAAATATGTGTATTTGTTTCATTTAATTTTATTAATTGTTGCAATTGTTTAAATTATAAGATTTAATTCAGGGCCTACATCATCGTAACTAATCAAGATACAATATTTTATTATTATTGTTCATGTCTTGTAAATTATTTTTGTTGTACTTGGTATAATCAAATCTTTTGTATACATTCTTGCATATTTGCCACACATAGTATTTACTGCTTAGTAAATTTATTGTTGTTTTGTTGGTTTTAAAACTACAAATGTTATTTATTTTGGTTGTGTTGATCAACATTGTATTTTACAATGTTTATATGAACTTTTATTTAATAAGTACTTCCATTATTTACTACTTATAATGACATTAAACAATTACTGTGTAATGCTATTAAACACAATAAACATTTGATAAATGTTTAAAGGAGTTAATTACTTGTTAAAACATCTTGTATTATTTAATAAATCTATGTATGTGGAGCTACACTAAATGAAATTTAAATACATGCACTTTAATATAATTTATACAAATTATAAAAATAAGTCGTTTATTAGATTTATATTAAATTGTATTATATAGACTAGAATATAGACTGGTTATAAACTAGACTTTAGACTAACAATTCGATGTTTTTACTAAAAACTATAATTTTTCTAAAATTCGATTTTTTACTATAAGTTGTTTTTATACTAAAAATAAACTTTATTACCCAAATATGGATTCGATTTTGTACCAAAAATTATTTTTTTTAATCTTATTTATTTCTATGAATGAATGTTTTCTGTGTTAATCTAACTTAAATCAAATTTTTTCACTTAAAATCTGAATTTTATCAACAACTAAATATTAAACGTTAAATTTTTGCTGAATAAACTAACTTTTCATAAAAAAATACAAAAAAAAGGTAATTGCCTACATATAGAAGGTCCAAAGTCTAGTTTCATATTCATGCAGATTGAAATCTGTAAATAAATAGAGAATAAATTCAAATAACGATTAAAAAGCACTTTTTCTTATTCTTTTATAACCTTCACTCTCGCGTGAAGGGTACATATAAGTTTGTCATTTCCTTTGTAATTTCTACAATTTAATATCTCACATCTAAAATATAGACTAGACTATAGACTAGACTATAGACTAGACTATAGACTAGACTATAGACTAGACTATAGACTAGACTATAGACTAGACTATAGACTAGACTATAGACTAGACTATAGACTAGACTATAGACTAGACTATAGACTAGACTATAGACTAGACTATAGACTAGACTATAGACTAGACTATACACTAGATAGACTATAGACTAGACTATAGACTAGACTATAGACTAGACTATAGACTAGACTATAGACTAGACTATAGACTAGACTATAGACTAGACTATAGACTAGACTATAGACTAGACTATAGACTAGACTATAGACTAGACTATAGACTAGACTATAGACTAGACTATAGACTAGACTATAGACTAGACTATAGACTAGACTATAGACTAGACTATAGACTAGACTATAGACTAGACTATAGACTAGACTATAGACTAGACTATAGACTAGACTATAGACTAGACTATAGACTAGACTATAGACTAGACTATAGACTAGACTATAGACTAGACTATGACTATAGACTAGACTATAGACTAGACTATAGACTAGACTATAGACTAGACTATAGACTAGACTATAGACTAGACTATAGACTAGACTATAGACTAGACTATAGACTAGACTATAGACTAGACTATAGACTAGACTATAGACTAGACTATAGACTAGACTATAGACTAGACTATAGACTAGACTATAGACTAGACTATAGACTAGACTATAGACTAGACTATAGACTAGACTATAGACTAGACTATAGACTAGACTATAGACTAGACTATAGACTAGACTATAGACTAGGACTATAGACTAGACTATAGACTAGACTATAGACTAGACTATAGACTAGACTATAGACTAGACTATAGACTAGACTATAGACTAGACTATAGACTAGACTATAGACTAGACTATAGACTAGACTATAGACTAGACTATAGACTAGACTATAGACTAGACTATAGACTAGACTATAGATAGACTATAGACTAGACTATAGACTAGACTATAGACTAGACTATAGACTAGACTATAGACTAGACTATAGACTAGACTATAGACTAGACTATAGACCAGACTATAGACTAGACTATAGACTAGACTATAGACTAGACTATAGACTAGACTATAGACTAGACTATAGACTAGACTATAGACTAGACTATAGACTAGACTATAGACTAGACTATAGACTAGACTATAGACTAGACTATAGACTAGACTATAGACTAGACTATAGACTAGACTATAGACTAGACTATAGACTAGACTATAGACTAGACTATAGACTAGACTATAGACTAGACTATAGACTAGACTATAGACTAGACTATAGACTAGACTATAGACTAGACTATAGACTAGACTATAGACTAGACTATAGACTAGACTATAGACTAGACTATAGACTAGACTATAGACTAGACTATAGACTAGACAATAGACTAGGCTAGACTATAAACTAGACTATAGAGTAGACTACAGAGTAGACTACAGAGTAGACTATAGACTAGACTACAGAGTAGACTATAGACTAGACTAGACTTTAGAATAGATTTTAGACTAGACTTTAGACTAGACATTAGACTAGATTTTAGACTAGACTTTAGACGGGACTATAGACTAGAAAATATTGTTTTTTTAGGGATATTACCCATATCGCAACCATTGTGCTCAGAATTTGTGATTTTTTGATAAAAGTTACAATGAATAAAATTAAATATTTCGTCATAGTTTTCTACTCTATATAAATATTAATACCCTTATTCATAAACAATATTTTATTTTAAAAAAGGTTTATAAAACTAAATTTCAATACAAATTTTAATTTATAAACTGTTTATAAAATAAAAATTTGTTATGAATAAACCCTTAATTATTTATGTGTAAATATTATTTAAATAAAAAAAATTAAGTAGGTTTTTTAATTATTATATTTATAACGATTTTAACGCTTCATAAAACAAAAGACTTAGGACACAAACACTACCACAACATATTGATTTGTATTATTCAGTTTTAATAGTTATCACGATTTTTCCCCCGTTAATCATTTAATTTATAATATTTAATAAATATTCATTATTAATTTTATCTATATTTATTAATTTCTCACACCTTCTAAGAATTAAAATAAATGCATGATGAATTTGAAAAGTTAACACACTGACTGGACTACATATTATAATTTTTAACTAAATAACTATTTACTCATGTGTGTAGTGTATATAATTTATGTAATAAGTTTTTAGAATTTCCATACATTTGCACGCAATTTAAAAAAGTAAAAAAAAAAAACTAAATTATTTCTAACGGAAGTACATGTTTTTTGTTTGTTTGCAAACTCATAACATTTGGTGGATAAGAAAATAAACACAACTGTAGGCAAAACAGTAATATTTGTGGTAATTTATTTAAACTTTTATTTTTCATGGCAAAATTTACAAAATTTACAACCTTTTAAATTGAAGCCTTTTTATTTTAAAACTTATTTAAGTAATCAACATAACACACTAATATGCGGTTTCTTTTGAATTGTTTTTTTTTTTTTTTTAATTTTTTTCATTTATCTTATTTTCGGGGTTTTGTTCAAATAATAACTAAATAATAGAAAAGGTGAAACTTTTGGGTGTTTCTTACATTTTTTTCTCTGAGGTATATTCACAATTATAATAATGCAATTGTTTTTAGTTAATTTATGTAAAAATTTAACTAAATAAATATTGAAAAATAGTTAAATATTTTATTTAAACTTATGAATGCTTAACGCTTGATTTTTGTGTGTGTGTGTGTTTTTTTTTTAATTTCTCAAAGTCATTTCTTTATCCAGCTTTTTTCGAAAAAGATGCGTGTATTTAAGCTATTAACACTTAATTGTAAAAAAAATGTTGTATGTCAATATTTAATTTAAAAACTCACTTCCTAAACACACTATTTTTTATTTTTGTTTTTTTTTTTTTTTGGTTTATTATTTTTTATTTGCAATTGCTGTTTATGTTTATTCACTTTAGTTTTTACATAAGTTTTAGGAATTATTATTTTTATTTAGTTTTGATCACTCTTTTTTTCCCTTAGTACTACTACCAAATTTTAATACTTTGTATTTAGCACCAAATAAGCCGACCTTAAGCGCGTTATACTCAAGTTGACGTTAAAATATCAACTAAATTCAATATTGTGGCATCAGTAGAAATTATACGGAAAAATCTGTTAGTTGTACAAAGAATAAATGCTCTTCGTGTTTTTAGCAACATTCATTTGTATGGATCGGTGTGAATATTTACCTTTTAATACCTTATACATATGTATGTATGTATGTATTCCCTCATTCGTTTATGTGTGTAAAAATGTTCATTCGTTTGCACTGCAAGTACTAGTATTAAGTATGGATATTTGTTTCTCTTGGTTTTAAATTGTTAGTTGCTAGATAAATTCCTTAAGTATTAGTAAAACGTCAATAGGATATTAAAACTAATACACTTACACTAATAGTACACTTTTTTTTGAAAATAAATAAGATTATTAAATTTTAATAGTAGAACAATTTTCAAACTTATGTTCGAATTTTCGAATATATTTTAAAAAGCTTGTATTTTACTGGCAAAACTGTTCGAATTTTTATTTCAATTACATTGGGATTCGAAAGATTTTTTGTTCGAATTGATAAAAGTTTACAATTTATAACCATCTAGTCTATGGACTAATCCACTATCTAGTCTAGGGTCTACTCTACAGTCTAGTCTGTTAAATAGCCTATTAATCTATTAACTTGTTTATAGACTGGTCTACTAACAACCTAGAATATAAGCTAGTGTATTAACTAGCCTACGAACTAGTCTACCAAGTAGTATGTTAACAAGTCTTTTAACTTATATATGGACTAGACAATGAACGAACTAGTCTATTGACTAGGGATTAGTACATTAACTAAGTTTATGGACTAGTTAATTTACTGGTCTATGGTCTAGACTTTTAACTAGTCTACTGAGTTGTCTGTTAACTAGTATTAGTCTATGAGCTAGTATATTAACTAGCCTACGAATTAGTCTATAGACTAGTCTTCAAACTAGTATATTAACAAGTCTGTGGACTAGTATATTAACTAGTCTACGAACTAGTCTGTGGATTATTCTAACATTTATTCTATTAACAAGTCTTTGAACTAATATATGGAATAGTAAAATAACTAGTCTACGGTCTAGTCTACAATCTATTAATTAGTTTGTTTACTAGTTCATTAACTACTCTATCTAGTCTATCAACTAGCCTATGTACTATATACACATTAATTGGCCCACTAATGAGTCTATTAACAATTGTATAGACTACAATAGTCTATGGACTACTCAATTAATTTGTTTATGGGCTAGTATATTAACAAGTTATCTAACTAATCTATGGACTAGTCACTTAAGTAGTCTATAGGCTGTCCTATAGACTACTGTCCTATAGACTTATTACCTAGTCTATGGACTAGCATATGGGCTAATAATCTATAGCCCATATACATGTCCATTAACTATTCCATGGACTAGCCTACTGACTAGCCTATGGTCTACTGATTAGTCTATGCATAATGACCAGTCTATGAACTAGTGTAGGATTTAGACAGTTGATTTCTTATTGAAATGTCTATTGACAAGGCAAGGTCTACACTATTGACTAGTATGTGGATTTGTCTATGGACTAGTATGTGAACTAGTGTATCAAATAGATATCTTCGAATTATAATTCCAATTATTCCAAATTATTTTCCAATAGGCATGGATAATTGGGTATACAAATCTAACTTATGATTGTAGGGTGTTATTTAATTAAAACGACTTAAATAAATGCATTTTAAACATTAAACTATTTATTTGTAAATTATGTAAGAAATAAAAAAAAGATCACACAAAATCAATTTAAATTGTTCTGTCTGGCATTCAAGCGTTGAAAATTATTAATATTATAAGCCGTTAAGGTATATATTGCATATTTTTTAAAATAAGATGGCACCAAATGTAATTAAATACATAATTACACTATACAACAATTTTTTTATAAAACATTGTCTTCGAATTTTTAATTAAAGTGATCATAAATCCCTAGTATATACATATGTATATATATTATTTTAATTTTACGTATTTTTATTTTTTGTTGTATCCTTAACAATATTTATTAAACAATACTTAATATTATAACATTTTAAAAATTAAATACTATTACATAAGTGCAATTAATATAATTGGATATTTAATGTAATTGCAAAAATTTACACTTGCTTTTTTAATTGAACAATGTTTAATCGGAGTAAAATAAAAATTAATTTCGAAATTGTATTTTATTTATGCAAAAATTTATTACTTATAGAATATTTAATAAATTATTTAATTCATATATATTAAAGCTGTGATATATGGTTGTCAGATCTTACAACGTTGTCAGTAAAATGTGCAGAAAATGTCTAGTTCACACGATTGGAACTTACAATTTTTCTTTTTCTGTTGCAAGACAAAATTTGTAAGTTGACACTGTTGTTAGACATTTTCTGCACATTTTACTGCCCACGTTCTAACGTTCACACGTCAAATATTCGACAAAAATGACTTGACCGCTAGAAAATCGACATTTTTACACAATATGGGGTTATCACTTTGGAACTTAATTTTTATTTATTTCATCATTATTTGTCATTACAAAAATCATGTCAGATCAAAAAAAGATATGCAAAAAATAGAGGTTATGTCTTTTTCGTCAAATGTTTGATTGGTGTAATAACAATTTTTAATCCTTTAGCTCCACCACGCAGGGACTATTGTATTCAGTATATACATTTATTATTTTTGGGTCTAGGACAAATATTTCGATGTATTAAAAATGCAATAATAAAATCTTTTTTATGGTAACAGAGACTTGTATAAAAGGACTTTAAAAAATTAAGTCAATAACAAAATCAGGTTTTCTAAAAGACATTAAAAGCCTGTTTTAGTTAAGGAATTAATAGAAACTTTAGCATCAGTTGTATAAACAGTAGCTTACGAAATTCTTTTGACAAAATTCTACTGCTAATATTTAATATATAATAGAAAAAAAGCATAAATAGCTGAAAATATTTTCATAATCATGAAATTTAAAAATCTAAATTCATTTTTCAGAAACTCAGTTTTCTGCACATAATTCCTAAGAATTTTCCTATCAATCTCCGATTAGAAAATGTTGTATCCGGAGTAATATCACTCTTAAGATAGTTGAATCAAAATTCAAAATGAAACAAAATGGTCTAGAGTTTCATTATACACTCTACATGATCTACATTCGTCTAAATCTGCACGTCCCATATCAGACTTGCTCGTTTTGAGGAGGTTTAACGACCTGCTCTCGTTAGTGTCACACAATAGCATCTTTGGGGTTCCACCCACCATTCCATTATCCCGAGAGGCCTTATGGGATTATCCCACCCATATTTTTAATTTAGCCCTCGTTGCGTCGAATGGTTTTGCGTTCCTCAGATTAGCTCCCTCGAGCTGCTTTCCCTTTAAAACTCTTTCGTTTCGTTAGATTTAACTTTATTACCTGATATCGGCTTCTGACTGACGGTAAATATGTTAACCCCTGTTGGCGCTATAATTATTCTGATAAAATTTTAGCTTGGACTTCTGCTTGGAAGCTAGTGTTTAACGGTAGTTTATTTCTGTTTCTGGGTCTTCAATATAGAACTCCAGGCCCGCTTTGTCCCTTAATTTAGAACCAACCTTGTAACAACGGACTCCTTCGGGTATTTGCTCTAATGCTCCATGCTTGACCAAGACATTATATCTGCATGTAATAGTTTTATATTGCACTTTTTGTCCAAAGAAGTCCACCAGATTATTGAAGTTACAATTGGTCTAATTGCACTTTTATAAAGCCAAAGCTATTTTTGTAAAAATAATTTGCTGACATACTGTAAATTCATTCATATGGTCGTCATTTTAGTTTAAATCACTTAACCTAAAATTGCAAACAAAAGGACAAGTTGATAAACAATATGTGTATTTGTTTTATTTTTACTAGTTTTTGCTAAGGTTCACAGTACTGGAATTTCCCAAGGCCAAACAAGATTGTAGCAAACTTATATCTTCACAATTTTTGCATTGTAAGATTGGCGGAATGTAAGCAAAAAAAAAAAAACAAAAAAAAAATAAAAAACCCTAAATTACACAGCAAATGTTGAAAAAATCTTGTAATAATGTACAACAGGTTTTTAGTAAAAAAAATAATTCAGACAACTTATCCATACTAATAAAAAATATTGTGGTTAAGATTTATTACATGATCAAAATCGAATTCTGAATTTCTTGTAAGACTATTAAAACTGTAGTCGTTAACTTTTACAAAAAATGCTGGAAAAAAGTTATAATCGTCCATAAATTAAATAAAACAAACAAATTTAGTTGTAATTTACAAAAAAAATAATAAAAATCAAAGACAATGTAATTATCTACATAATTTGTAATTTTTTTATTAAAACTTAGTTTCATATGACAATTTGCCATCTAATTAGTCAACGAAAACAACTTATCTAATATATAATACATATGTATGAATGTATGTACATAGGCACAGTATGGTTCGAAATCTGAACAACTTTTCTTTACAACCAAAGACCTATGTATGTGTTATATTTTAATTAATTGTGATATCAAAGTTTTAATACAATTTCCTACCATTCAATAAGAAAATAAAAACAAAATTATTCTAATAAATTTTCGTTGGAAATATAGGCAATTTTAAGGTTAATGTTTTGAACAATACTGTATGTTTTTATATATTGTAATAGAAAAAGGTTACTATCTAATTATCATAAAAAATATTATGGAAAAAATAAATTTAATCTTTCCGCTAGGGGATTTTCTAAATATCTTCATCACCTGCCATGGCGTATTTTAAATTAATGCAATAAATAAATATTTTTTATTATTAATTAGTAAATTCTAAAAGAAACACAAATAAGAGTTCTATATTCGGCTGAGCCGAATCTTATATACACTTCATCATAGTGTGTTTAAAAAAAAGACATACATACGTATTTATTACAAAAAAAATCCAAAAATTTCCAATTAGAAAACGAAAAAGTACCAGAAAGATCTCTTTTAATTCTATAATATAGATTTAATAATAAAAAAGATTCAAAAAGTACCAGTTGTAGAACAAAAATGTAGCAAAAAGTATACTCTTATAAATTTTCATTCAGTTAGTAGACTGAGTGTCTAATTTTGCGTTTGTAGGTTTAATATTATAAAAATAAAAAAACTTTTAAAGAAAAAAAAAATACCAAAAAATTCACTCCTATTTTCATACCATCATGATCATATATGTATAATTCAGAGAATCGGAAAAAGTACCAAAAAGTCCACTTTTATAGATTTTCATTCAATCCTTTAATCAATTCTTTAGTTTAAGGATTAGCTATTCAATTAAAACAAATCTTCGAAATTTCTGATATACAATTGGAAATGATATAGAACTTCTTAGTAGAACTATATAATCATCTTAATGTTACATTGATCAGTTTCTATGATATCCAAGATTTTCACAATTGAATTGATTTTAATTTTTTTTTTTTTTCGTTCAAGAACTAATTACTTTATCACAAATTATTAAAATAAACACCAGCTGCTAACCATTATTATTATTATAAAAACTTAATTGTAGTCGAATTAAAATAGCTACAATTGTGATCTGTAATAGTTAACATAATCGGAACATTCATGCAGTTCTGAGTGTTCTGTCCCAAACTAATTATATTCTTATCCTTTGGGATATTAGGAACAAGTCAATTATTATCACACTTAATTATAAACTTAACGTTCATGAGAAGGGTATACTATATAAATTTGTCATTCCGTTTAAAATTTCTACAATATAATTTTGCGACCCTATAAAGTTTCTAACTGTCTGTTCATATGTATGTTGAAATCAGTTTTTAGAAGACCTAAGATATCTGCGAGATCCGAATCGTGAAGTTTCCTATTTAAAATAAGCAAAATTGGTGCATAAATAACGGATATACAAGCAAAATTCCGATACAACCCTAGAATGTTAATAGAATAGACTTCGAGCTGTCTCAAATATGTGCAAAATATCATATGTCAGATGGCTTTAATAGTTAAAATTATGAATCCATTAATTAACAATGTTCAAAATTTTAATATTATAAAATTTTATGTCGTTTTTTCCAAAAAAAAAAAAAACTATGTATATGGCATTAAGAAATATAGAAACACCAAAAAGTAATGTGTTAAAAATTAATTCAAGCGCTAATACAAGCATTGTGGATTTTTAAATGACCAAGTTAGTACCAATTGTGAAATACCCGATGGTATCAACACTATTGCTGTGTTTCATACGCATAACGGAAGTCATATGTTTTTGATGTTTTCAACATACGGCAACCTTGAATCGATTGGCATATTCTATATTTGCAAAAAGTAGCATAATAATTTTTTTCCAATATTTTATTTTGTAAATTTCTTAAATTTTCTACAAGGTAATAAAATAAAAAAACGAAAATAGTAAAAAAAACAAATAATACATTCAGCTATCAAATAAAATATTAAAACAAAAAAAAAAAAAAAATTCACACGTTCGTAATAATACTACATAAATTGAGATAAAATATTTGTAATAATTGGTCAGCTGAATATTCTGGTAAATAATGTGCACAAGATTTGTTGTGATTTAAAATTATATAATTAATAACTTGTTTTGTTGCAACAATTATTAGCGCCAGCTGTCAATTGTTTACAAAACTGCACTGAAAACAATAGCTACAATTTTCCAATTGGGCATTGCGACCAGAGAGTATTTGGGAAAATAATAAACGTCTAAACAAAAATCGTTGCAATTTTGGTAATAAAAAAGATTCAAAAAAATGCCAAAAAGTTAACAACTTCTATTGATAATATATTGATAAAAAACAAATGAAAGAGACGATTTCAGGCATTTGTTTACTATTGTATTTTGTTTAAAGAAATTGCCATTCAGCACAAAATGATTACCGAACAAAGTAAAATTCAACAAACAACAAACGCACAACATCACCAGCATCAACATGAACTCGGCAACATTCCGGTGGGCAGCACAACGGTTTTTGTAGAACGTTTCTTTGGACATTTCTATTGGAAAGAGTTTGCTTGTGGCTGTGGCGCCGCATTCGTCAATATTGGTATTACATATCCCATTTATAAGATGATATTTCGCCAAATGCTTCATGGTGTTCCCATCACATCCGCATTCGGTCAGCTGCGGCATGAAGGCTTACTTTATTTATATCGTGGCATGTTTCCACCCCTCGCACAAAAAACTGTTTCATTATCCATAATGTTTGGCGTTTTTGATGGTACGCGGCGTTATCTGGTGGACGATTATCATATGAATGCATATAAAGCGAAACTTATAGCTGGTATGGCAGCAGGTACCGTAGAAACATTGTTACTTCCATTCGAGCGCGTACAAACACTCTTGGCTGACTCAAAATATCACAAATATTTTGCGAATACGCAAAAGGCTTTTGGGTAAGTTATACACTTTGCTTATGCATAATTTCCATATAATATGAGACCCCATAAAGTAAATGCATGTATGCATATTGATATATCGATGTCCGTCTGAATGTCTCTTGAAATCCAAAAGGTTTCATAAATAACGGAGATTCACAGACGACCCCGTCATCTATAACGATACTGCAAGACTCGAAAAACTCGTATAAAGAATGCGCCTTTCAATGTTTTACGACTTTTCACAGAAATTTAGCATAATAGAAATTACTAGCGAAATTGCTCATAAAAGTCTAGGAATTTTACTTACTTACTGATAATTTTTTTCTTTTAGATATGTACTAACAAATCATGGGTTTAAAGAATTATATCGAGGAATTGTACCGGTGCTGTGGCGTAATGGTCCATCAAATGCCATGTTCTTTATATTGCGTGAAGAGGCTAGTTTACATTTACCACAAAGGGTAAATATTGAAAATAGTAATAAATTTTTGAACCCCAACATTAAATAATATTTCTTACAGACTTCTGTATCCACAAAGGCGGCACAAGAATTTATTGCGGGAGCCATTATTGGAGCCAGTACGAGTACATTGTTTTATCCACTTAATGTTATAAAAGTGGCGATGCAGAGCGAAATGGGACATCCATCGGAAAGTATGTGGAAAACATGCTTGAAAATTTATCGAGACAGAGGCAGCAGTATTGCATATTTTTATCGAGGTTGTGGTTTTAATACCGCACGTTCATTTATTAGTTGGGGTGTCATGAATACGGCCTATGAAAATTTAAAACATCTCATGAGTACATATTGACTCATTATAGTAAATTTTTAAAAATAACAATAACACCACCTATTAACTAATTTTCAGCCAAAGGTAAATTATAATATAATGCTCGAAGCTAATCACTAATTTAATGTATTAGTTAAAGTTTATAGAAACTAACAAAAAACCATTAAGAAAACAGAATTAAAAAATGAAAATGAGGCCATAAATTTGTCCTTATATTAATAGTTACTATTAATAATTTTAATTTAATTTTATATAATTTATTTATAAACAATTAAATACAATTTAATGACCCATAAGACCCAAATGACTGACTCCAACTTGACTGGTTTGTGTAAAAAAGTACAAACAAACACTACATACAATATGGTGGTCATCCATTAAAATTTTCTCTCACTTAAGTATTTGCTTTCATAAGTTGTTGCCTTATTCTTCTAGGATACTTATAAATATTTTGTAAATAATTATTAAATACACACATGCGGACGCTGATGATGGTATATGTTTGTCATTTCAATGACTCTTTAGAAAAAGGTTTAAGTAGTGTATTTTATTTTATTATTTTAGTTTTGCTAATTTTGGACGCTAATACAATAAATTGTGTGTAAATACAATTGTTTGTTGTATGTATTAAAGCATAAAGTAAAATATATAAATGTATATACAGGTACATACATACATTATTTAAATTTAATTATAATTACAACCTAACTTATAATTTCTGCATAATTAATAATATATAAAAAAATAATATTTTTATATAGAAAACAATAGTTAAATGAAGAAAAAATTAATAAATAAAGCATTTATTCATATGTACTATTTATATTATGTGTAAAAGATGAAAATGAAAACATTAACAATTAACGATTTTGTGAATATGTCTAATATGTGTGATTTTATTAAGTTCTAAACTTGTTCTATAGGTTTAGTTGATTGTTATTTTTAAATAAATTGAATTGATAAAAAAAATAATAGATACATTTAAGTCTTTAATTTTTATTTGTTTTATTAAACTACTACTTGAATCCATTTGGATAAAAAACTGCCATGCGGAGTTTTGACAAGATCACATAACTGGCCAGAAGTATCGTAATGTAGTATAAGATCCATACTGTAGTCGTAGGATATCTCAAATGTATTTGTAGAAGAATCTATTTCTCTTGATGGTTAGGGCCGAACATTAGCAGAGAAGGTGGAAGACCGTCTCTATCCCTGTCGTTTAAACTGGACAGACTGGCATACCCGCATACACCCTGTGTCCAAGTTAATACCTCTACATATGCTGCCAATTTCAGGTTTAAATTGCATAGTGCGTTATCATTAAAAGAAAGCAACATTACTTCTCCCCCTGCACACGTCTGTAGTTTTGTTTTATTAATATACTAGCTGAATGTGGTCCACATCACTGGCCCTAATGTTGGTCTATTTCTTCATGTAAAAATCTTGTAGCTACCGCAAAAATTATAAAAGTTTTCGTTTGGTTCGAATGTAATTAAATAAAACGCCATCTATCGGACAAATAGATAGATAGATAGATAGATAGATAGATAGATAGATAGATAGATAGATAGATAGATAGATAGATAGATAGATAGATAGATAGATAGATAGATCGATAGATAGATAGATAGATAGATAGATAGATAGATAGATAGATAGATTAGATAGATCGCTCGATGAGATAGATCGATAGCTGATAGATAGATAGCTAGATAGATAGATAGATAGATAGCTCGCTAGATAGCTAGATCGCTCTCTCGCTCGCTCGCTCGCTCGCTCGCTCGCTCTCGCTAGCTCGCTCGCTGCTCGCTCGCTAGCTCGCTCGCTCGCTCGCTCGCTCGCTCGCTCGCTCGCTCTCTCGCTCGCTCGCTAGCTCGCTCGCTCGCTCGCTCGCTCGCTCGCTCGCTCGCTCGCTCGCTCGCTCGTCCTCGCTCGCTCGCTCGCTCGCTCGCTCGCTCGCTCCTCGCTCGCTCGCTCGCTCGCTCGCTCGCTCGCTCGCTCGCTCGCTCGCTCGCTCGCTCGCTCGCTCGCTCGCTCGCTCGCTCGCTCGCTCGCTCGCTCGCTCGCTCGCTCGCTCGCTCGCTCGCTCGCTCGCTCCCTCCCCCCCTGTGCTTTTCGCCCCCTGCTTTCTTCTGCCCCCCCTCTCCCCCCCCCCCGCCCGCTTTTCCCTTCTTCTCCCCCTCTCTCCCCCTTTCTTGCCCCCCCTTTTCCTTTCCCTCCCCCCCTCTTTCTTCCTGCTTTTCTGTTCTCCCCTTTCCCTCCCCTTAGTTTCGCCCTCCCCCTCCGTTTATCTAAGCCACAAACCGGAGCTTTTCTATATTTAACAGTTGGCAGCAATGCCGAATGACATTAGCTGTCAAATTTTTTGGACAGCTGAAGTGCGACCAACTTCGGGTTTCTTTCTTTTTGACGTGCTCTTTTAGAAAAAGTGGTGTGTATTTATTTGGAAAATCTGTAAAAATTTCTAACATCTTTTGATTAAACTGAATTAAGTGTACAAATAATAGAAAATAAACATTTCAAAAATGTTGTCAAAGTGTAATTTAAGAATACAGCAATTTAAATTAAATAAATTGAAAGCAAGAAAAAAAAGTTTTGTTTATACTCTGTTTTTTTCTGTGCACTTAAGAACAGTGATCAAATTTTTGGCTTGAAATTAATACAAGACATAATATTAATTTATAAAAGTGATTGTCTAATAAAGTGTTATTGAATTTACAGCTCAAATATGACCATTCGTCCAGCATATAGGCCAAAAATCGTAAAGAAGCGCACCAAGCACTTCATCCGTCATCAATCGGATCGTTATGCTAAGTTGTCGGTAAGTAGTAAACAAAGCTCCGTTAAACAGAATCTGTTTATAGATTTTGTTTAATTTAAATAAATTGTCCTGTAATGTACAATTCTTTCTTAATTTTAGCACAAATGGCGTAAACCAAAAGGTATTGACAACAGAGTACGTCGTCGCTTCAAGGGTCAATACTTGATGCCCAACATTGGTTACGGTTCCAATAAGCGTACCCGTCACATGCTCCCCACCGGCTTCAAGAAGTTCGTTGTCAACAATGTTAAGGAACTCGAAGTTTTGATGATGCAAAACCGTGTCTACTGCGGTGAAATCGCCCACGGTGTCTCCTCCAAGAAACGCAAGGAAATCGTTGAGCGTGCCAAGCAATTGTCCATCCGTTTGACAAATCCCAATGGTCGTGTTCGTTCACAAGAGAATGAATAAACATTTTATTAAGTTTATGCTAAACTTTTTTTACTTTTTGTTTATTCAAAATAAGATCTGAATATAAGAAAAATTAGATTTTAAACGGACGTGTTGTATATGTGTGTTTGTGTTATTTATTTACAATTTCTATCGGTTGTAGATTTTGGTTTGTTTTTTGAATACTTTGTATTTTTTTATTTGGAAAACATAAATTCACTTCGTTCTTATGATTTTTTTAAATTGCTATATTTTAAAAGAAATGTTTATGCAGAATACTAGAATTTCTTTATAAAATCAGTTAATCAAAATAAGAAGCTCATTTTAAAACGAATGGTCATAACTTTTAAGCATTTTGTGTAGGTCGCCAATATGTAATCTAAGAATAAGATTCGGCATAATCTAAATTTTAACAATTCAGAGCAAAGATTAGTATTTGTTTATTTTTAATTTGATTTTTTGTAATCAGTCTGGAAAGTAGTTTCGACACGATTAATTCATAAATATAGATTTCATAGAATTCTCAAGATAATTCACTTTATAGAAATGATTTCTGTTAAATTATCGTTTTTCAAATTTGCAAAGTATAAATTATTTATAATTAAACAACAAATTGTAAATGATTGAATTCAATTAAGAAAGAATTTAAAATTCAGGAGTAATAGTTGTGACACATTGCTATTAAACAAAATTTAACTATTCAGGAGGATTTCATTAGCCATAGGAAATATTTGAATGTGTGTTCCACTCTTTAAAACATTCTCTTGTAAATAATTCACAAGTTTTATTATCGGAATTATATTAAAGTTAATTTTAACTTGAAGTTTTCAAATTTACCGTTAAAAGTGCACATTAATCGATAAATTGTTACATTACTTTGGAGAAAAAAAATCAATCACTGTAATCGATACCCATTTCATTTATTATTCACCTAATTTTACCGCTATTTATCAATTATTTAAAATTGAAAGCATTAAAATATTATTTTATTAATAAAAAATTCATTAGAAAAATAATAACGAAGTTATTTAAGAATTACATCGTGCACATCTTGCAAATGCTGTTCCAAACCCTCCTTAGCATCGTACTTCTTATTGCATATGACACAAGTATTATCGCCTTCGTAGCTATCATTCTCCTCCAATATACCAATAGTCTCCTCGTTATCAGTTTCCTTCTCGTCCGGAGATGCTTTACTACTCACAATTGTACTGCTGGGACTTGCGGACGATTTATCACCCCAATGCGTTTTCAGATGCATTTTAAGAGTATAACGTTCGGTAAATGATTTCGGACACAAATGGCAATGGTGTCGCGGACGATTTTCCTGATGTATGAGCAGATGGTGAGTATAGGTTTTGCGTGATTTGAAGGATTGATTGCAAATGGCACAAATTAGTGGATTTTCTTCAGCTTCATGACGCAAACGATGATTGTAGAGCATGTTGTCTAAAGAGAATCTTTCGCCACATTTTTCACATTGAAACTTCTTCTTATCCCAATGTATACGCATGTGTCTTAAGGTATTTACCGGACGTGTAAAGCGCTTGGGACAGTAGCGACATTCGTTTTCTGTCTTCCCCTCATGTATATTCATATGTAATTCAAGATATTCTTCATCTTTTCTGGAAACTCCACAAATTTTACAAGTAAATTGCTTAACATTATGACATTCGCTCATATGATTCTGCAGAAGAAATTTCGATTTTAAAACTATTCCACAAATAACGCACTCCAGGCTATGGCGTTTGCGTTTTCCTTCATTATTTTGCGACTCCTGAGTTAAGTTACTACTGCTGCTACTTTTGGGGTTGATTGTACCACGGCTTTGCGTGTGATCTTCAGCAGTTTCTTCCTCTATAATAACATCATCATCGATTTCAATTAATTCTTCTTTTGTATCAAGATTTGGATTGAAAGCGTCTACAAGATTGGGATCCTCCTCCTCTTCATCATCTTCAAATTCCAGCTCTATATCCATAGACTGTTCATTTACATCTTCCACTGGAGTGGTGGGTTCTTCTGATTCCTCTTCTGGTTTCTCCATTAAGGCATTTCGCAACAAAACAGTAAGACGTTTTTGCGACGAAAGAAGATTTAACATTAAATCATCATAATCGGACATTTCCTTGAAACAATCTGCACAAATGTAGGTTTCGCTTTGGAAAATTAGCTTAAATTTGATACAATTTGCCAGATGCTGAAGGACAACGTGAAGTGGCTTCTGTGAGGCGGGTACAACGGCTGATTGTATGTTGTAAAAGTCGAGATTATCCTTATTTCCGCAGAGGAAGCATAAAATGACGGTTTCCATAATAATTTAATTTTCACTGCTCTAAGCTAAATAATTTGAATCGATTTTCATAACAAAATATTTCACTTCACTATTATTGGAGACGAAAAAACAGCACACAATTTGATTTACTCCATCCCGGGGATGGGAAACGATATTTTTTAAATTAAACTAAACAATTTTAGAAATATTAGTTTTTACAAATTAAACTTTAATTGTACCAAAATACATTCTATCTATAAATTTATTTTTTTAAACCTTGATTATTTACGATACGTAATGATTATAGTTACAGATAAGGAGTTAGATTTGTAGCATAGACAAAATAAATTTAATCAACATTGCCATCCCTGTTTCAGACGTTCATCGATGTCAAAACAACCAAAAAATGTCAACAATAATTAGAGTCACCAGATTGTGTCAAAAATATTCAATTACTAGTTTACTTGTTAGGCCCCAAAGGTTTCTTAATTTTTTGGGCAAAATATCTATATTTTTAAGAATATAAGTAATTTGTATGTCAATTAATTTTTTACAGAGTTTTCCTTTATTATAATTTTTTTAACACAGAACCAAATAATATGGCAGCCTCATATATGATGATGGCAGTTTAGCGATTTCTTTTTTTAACTGTGTTATTAGGTGTGTTCGCGTACTTTCTAGTAAAAAATATCCAGTAACTTTATGATCAAAAAAAAAAGTACGCGAACGCAAATTTGTAAAAAAAATTGCAAGTTTTTGTTTGTAAACAAAGTTTAGTAATGTCTGTTTGCTGAAATCTCAATCGCTAACAAAACACCAAAAACAAACTGCAAACAAATAATGATTTTTCTTATAAATGAAAGGATATTTAAAGTTAACAAATCATGTAATATCATTAAAAATATATTATTGTTTTCAAACTTCGTGTTACAAACATGTTATTAAAATAAAAATTTACACAAAATCGCTAAGAGAAAGACACTTTATATTGTTTTAAAAATGATAGATTGTGAATATTTATTATGGTTTTTCACAACAAAAAAAAAACCTTTTAAAAATTAATTTATGATAAATAGAATTAGAATAAATCTAATTACAAATAATTTTTTAATATTCGTGTGTTATTAATTTATATATTTCTTTCTAAAAATGTAAAACTTACCAAATTTTTCGTTTTCATTGGTTTGTTTACATATTCATTAATCAGCCATATGTTGTGAACATATGTTTGATATTTTTTACTGGTGAAAAATATCCAGTAAAATTAAAAAAATCTCTATCAACGAACTGTCATTTTTACCGCTCACTTACTCTCTCGTTGCAAGTTTTCAAAAGTACGCGAACGGAATCCAGTAACAATTGTTACAAATTATTACAAATTGTTTCAAATTATTAAGTACGCGAACAGACCTATTATTTCACTTGTATTCACAAACAATAAGAAGAAGACAGAGATAAAAAGCTAAACAAAAATTTATTATTCGGAAATTTGTTGCTTTAAAAATTAGAAAAAACAAGACAATTTGTTTTTTTAAAACAATAGCATGGACAGGATTCTAACGCCAAAGTGTCACATTTGTCAGGAAACCGATTTTAGAGCTCTGTACTGCGATGAAGTGTATAAAGCCAGGGCTCCGAAATCGCAAAAAACCATTCTTGATATAATCAGACACATTTCTAGAGTTCTTAAGGTGACATTCACTGTTCCGGCACGAGCACGGGTATGTACGGTTTGTTATAAGGAGCTAGTGCGATATGATTGTTATGTTGTGGAGCTGCTGGAAGTGCAGAAACGTTTAAGTGACAAAATAAATGCCCGCGTAAAAGGCATTAAATTGCCGAAGGCTCCAGGGAATAAGTCGCCAACTGATAAAGATAAGAAAGTTATAAAAGTCGAAGAAATCAACTCCGATGATGAGGATGAGGATGACGATGGTAATGAGAATGAAATCGAAGCTATTGATGATAGTGATGAGGACGATGATGATGCATTTGATGATGATAATATTTTTGTTGATCCCGACATAGATACTGAGCCCTCAGCTAGTGGCCATCAACAAGAGAAAGACAAGTCCGAAAATCAACAAGACAATTATCCTTGCACAGTTTGTAATTTAAAATTAAAGAATCAACGAGCCCTTGACTACCATCTCGATAAGGATCACAAAAATCGCGTAACCTGCACTGTGTGCGGTGTTCAAGTTCGTAACGATGAGTATTTAGTTCTACACATGAACATTCACAATGGAAAAACCGAAAATGATTGCAGTTTTTGTGACAAATCTTATGCTCGCCGTGTAAATGTAATACGCCACATGCAAGTACATTTCAATAAGAAAAAACACCAGTGTGAACGTTGCGGCATGTTCTTTTCCCAAACGACCATTTTCTATAATCATCGTTTGCAACATGAGGCCGAAGATAATCCGCTTATATGCCCGGTGTGTTCGCAAACCTTTAAAACTATACGCACCTATAAACGACATATGGTCACACATCAAGAAGATCGTCCACGTTACAATTGTGAATTCTGTGGCAAAGTGTTTGTTGACAAGTACACACTCAAAATGCACGTTCGCACTCATCACACTACTACTGCAGCTGGTGACGAATCACAGGAGCAGTCTGCGACCCCAGCCCAGAAAAAGGCGAAGACCGCACCGGCAGAAGAGGCAGATCATGTTATATTTACTTGTGTCATTTGTCAGCATATATTCGTTAGACAAGATTTATTTGCGGATCACATGCAAAATGTTCACGATGTTGTTATGGATTCGTAAGCAGAAAGTGTTTATGATAATAATTTTATTTAGAAATAAGTTTCCTTTAAAGTACATAATACACATGCATAGGTTTAGTTTATTAATAAAAGAAAATGTTGCAAAAACAATCCTCGTCAAATTACATTCCATTCGATACAGTAGAAATAATTCCTCTGTGGGATAGTAAACAAATAAATGGAACTTGTACATTTGTAATTTATAAACGGTTGGTCCCAATTTGGAGCAAAATTTCCAATAGAACGTTATTTTAACTCAATTTGTAATCTGTGGTGGAAACCACCATAATTTTACTTCCTCTGTCGGCTCAAAATTGCAATAGAATGTAAAAGTTGAAAAAAAACATTTATTTTAAATTATTCGTATTAATATCCATAGTTAATATCTGTTTTGTAAGAAAATAATGTATTTCTCTTAATAGCCATCATCAGAAATTTCAATTTCATAATCTTTATATTTAGTTAGTAAAATCTTTTTAGACTCCGAATGATCGGCTTTTCCGTAACCCTGAAAGTTAAATCATTAATTTATATATACTAACAACTCAAACTTAAAACACAACCTGAGAATATCCATAAACTTTAATACGCTTCGCTTCAGGATTATGATCAATTCTACCTCCACCTAAACATTCAGTATCAAGTCCTAAGCCTTGACAGGATGTGCTAGCACGTTCATAAATATCAGCTTTAAATAATAAAAAACAACTGATCATAAAATTGTTTTCCAACACAGCTCTAATAAACTTACAATGCCATTCACAATCGCCGTAACCTCTTACAATCAATTTGCTGGGCTCGGTACCATCGGTTTTTTCCTTGCCATACACTTTAATGAGTACATATTTAAAAATACCCTCTTCAATATCAACACTTGGTACAGCTTCCAATTTGGCATCAACCATATTGCATAAGTTTCGTATAAAAGCTATAATGGATAAAAAAACGATATGTTTAAAATATAAAATTATTTATACTATAATATATCGGAATTTTTATTATATTTTTACTTAGACTTACGGGATTTTGGTAGAAAAACTGCCGGTGCTCGGTTTGCTAAAATTTGTACAGCTGACTTTAACATTTTTTCTTTTCATTTGTTGTTGTTAATTTTTTAACATTTATGTCAAAACAATTGAATGATTGATAATTTAGCGATTTTAAAATTCAGCGTTTTTTAAATAAAATTTTAAAGAAATCATTTTTTTACCGTTAGCTAAAATCTAACAAATAATCAACAGGTGGCGCATTATAGTAGAAATCTGATTTCCTTAAAGAAAGATATGAAAGTTATGATGAGTGAATATCCTCTCCAAATAAATGAAGAAAAGGTTAACGAACATAGATGAAAAATCTCCATGGTCTGTTACCTGAATAGCCATTCATTTCCCCTCATAAAACGCCTAAACCGGACCCAGCTACATATTCTCACGACAATTGGATCTTCGCTCGGGAACGACCCGAGTTATACTCGGTCAAAGATTGTCAAACCAGTCGAACTGTTACAACAACAACATATCCTTGGTCATTGTTTAATATTTTTCCTAACCATTTCTGTACAACGGTTCCAATTGTGCAGTAAACGGTTATTACTACTACAAGAGTCCTTATACATTTTCTATACAATACTAAAAGTTGCTTAGCGTTTAACCTTTGATTTTCCTACAATCCATCCTACTATGCTTCAGTTGGAGGAGTCCTTGAACTTTTCGGAAAATAACATTTAGTTGTGATAGATTATAGGATTTACCAATTTAACTCTACTATTAAGGTCTAAATCAAAGCTTCGTCTGACCAATACATTTGCGATCCCATTTATTAGAGTGCCCTGGTACACAACAAAACTTTATTGTGTATAACCCATTTTACGCTTCAAGAGCTTTTTTGCTGCTAGAATGTAATTGATAGACAATCAACATAAAATGTCACCTCCATCTCCCTTATGATGTCTCTTTATATTGTGTACGACTTTCCAGATCGCTAAGATCTTCGGCGGAAACAGACCACATTTGTCCGTAGGTCTATATAACAGATATATATCTCTAAATGCAAGATAAACACCAAGCCAAAGAAATGAAAACTATTTTTGTTATAAAAACGATATTTTCGTACATATATCCCAACATCAAGAAACATGATTTCAAAAATATAGATTTTTAGGAATTTTACTCATACATATCTGGACCATTTATGTAGATTAAGAATTTTTTTAAAGTAAAAAAAAATCAAAATAAAATAATTGTGTATTTCCATGCGTATTTCTATAAATCTCTAATGTCCCAAGAACGACTCAGCTGATTTTAAATATGTATTCGCGTATTATTGTTCAGCATGCTAAGAAAATTACAAAATTATACGTAGATTTGTTAGATTTTTTCTGAAGATAAAAAACTCATTTTTATCTAAATCTCAGAAATAGTTATAAATCTATACCCTCCACATTTCTTTTGTTTTGAAATTTGCATGTACATTCCAGGGACATTGGAAAATTTCTAAATCAATTTTGATTTCGGCATTTTTTTTACACAATTTAAAAATATTTATCAAAAGCTTTTAAAAACGTTTTTAATTATTCGCATTTAAACTTGATTTCCACATTCAACTGACATGCTACATTCCCACTATGTATAATATAAACAAACATGTAAACAAAAGTGCCAATTGACACATTTTCTCAATCTCACTTATTTCAAAAAGTTTTCACAATTGCCACTAAACACTGTCCAAACAAATTAGAATCCATTTAATGTTTTATAGATTTTTACGTTTTTAAAAACTTACATCAGTTTTTTTATTAATTCACGTTTTATATTTGTAAAATATAATAAAACTTAAAAAACACTTAGTAGTCCATTCTAAAACAAATCGAGCAACTTAAGCAACCAAAGCGGAAGCTGTGCTAGATTCGTATTTCCAGTTGGGTGGGAGGACACTCTTGGTCTTGTAGTAGCGGGCCAATCTGTGGATACGGGATTCAACCAAAATAAGGCGGAATTTACCGTCCTTATCCTTGCGGTTACGTTCCAAATGCTTACGGATGGCAACAGCCTTCTTGATCATGTGGTATAAATCCTCTGGGATGTCGGGTTTAAGACCAACAGATTTCATGATACGCAAAATCTTGTTGCCGTTAACGAAACGTACTTGAGCAACACCATGGGAATCACGAAGGATGATACCTGTAGTTTGGAAAAACACAAAATGCATTAGTACAAACATTCCTCTCATACAATGTAAACATAACCTTAAAAAACATTCATTCTCTACTACTCACCGATTTTGGAGGGGGTCAAACCCTTTTTGCCCAATTTCTTGATTTGTTCCTTAACATCCTCAGCGTTGAGTTTCAACCAGGAGGGAACGGTTCTTCTGTAGGGCAAGGCTGATTGGGAAATACCCTTTCTGCAATAGAAAAACAACAATATTTACCATTATTGAATACACATTGTATAGAATTCGTGTGAATTAGAAAGCCCGAATACGACACAACAGATGAGCGAGCGGTACACATGTCTGCACTCAATTATAAATTATGGAATTTTTCCAAGTTTTTAACAATTCACAATATAATTTTCACTAGCCACTGATAGAGTGCATGTTACAGTTCATATTTATAGTCATAATTTTTGCATAATTCACACAGAAATTAAATAAAATTAATTTTTTACCCTGGAGCGTGCATACGACCCATCTTGTCAGATTTTTATTCTACAGCAAAAAGAGCGAAACGGATGTTGCGGATGAAACACCATGGCGAACGACAGTGCTACCAACATTAGAAAACAAAAAAACTCTACACAAAACAGAGATGTTAACAGATAATAAACCGCAACGTTTTCGAATGAAATGGAATTGAAATAATAATATACATATAAATATAAAATAAATATATTTAAAAATGATTTATTGAAGACAATTTTACATTAATAGCCAAAGTGTAACGATGTGTGAGAAAATAAAACTAATTGAAAGTGTATAATCTAGAAATAAAAGGCAGTGACACAAAATTGGGAATGAAAAATTTAAAGTCGTACTGTATTTAAAAATTTGTATACAATTTTTCATAGAAAAAATATAAAATTTCAAGTTAAATTTTGTATTAAATATTTACTTTATTTTAGATGTATATAATTTTTATTAAAAACGTTATCCAACAGTATTTGTTACTCATTTCACAAAATTCAAGAAAATTTATTTTTTTTCTCATGTTTTTACAAATATTAGTTAAGTAAAATTTCAATTTATATGAGAATCATATTAAAATCTACTATCTGTATCTAGTTTAATTTGCAAATCCCAAGATTTGTTTATGAGTCATTTAAAAATATTAAAATGTCATTAAACGTTCAAAGCCATTTTTCAAAACGACTTTTTTTGAATTATTCCAGTCTTGTAATAAATAAGCAATATGAAAATTAATCAAAAATATGTGATTATAATATTCACACATTTAAAAATCTTACTACTAGCATTGGGCTCAAACCCATTTACATTTTATGAACATGAGATTATTTTACAAGTAAAAAATCCTCTTAGCTTAGGTTTGGGTATGGTAGTTGGCTAGAAAATGTCTGAAATTAAATATATTTTTTATACCCTCCACCACCATCAGTGGTGATAGAGGGTATATATAACTTTGTCATTCCGTGTGTAACACCAAGAAATATTCATCTGAGACCCAACAAAGTATATATATTCTGGGTCCTTATCAAATTCTGAGTCGATTTAGCTATGTCCGTCTGTCCGTCTGTCTGTGTAAAACACGCTCACGATAAAACGAAGCAATAGAGTTTAACCAAATTCACCCAAAATGTTCTTCATTTTCCTAAGTTGTTTGGTATTGCAAATGGGCAAAATCGGTTCACACCGGGAAAAGTTATGAATCAAAATTTAAAACAACCTCGGAAAAAAATAAGCATTTTTTACACATTATGATGTAATTTTCTCGAAAACTATGCAAGATAATTCCATGGAAATCACCATTCGTTTCTGCACAAGATCTTGATCCCTGCTGAAAATTGCCAGAATCGGTCCACAATTTCATATACCTCCCATACAAAAGTACAAATTCCCGGAAAATGGGTTTTTTGTTAATAACTTCCGCCACAATGTCGATATCTTCACAAAATTTCACAAATTAAAATCTTATGTCAATAGAATTCTTCCAGAGGAAACATTTTATGGATCGGTCCATAATTGGACATAGCTCCCATACAAGGTCGCCTCCCGAAAATCACTTAAATGCGCATAACTCATTACTAAAGTAAGATATCCATATAAAATTTAGTATAAGTATTGCCCATATGCATAGAAATATTACTGTGAAAGTTTTTTCCGATCGGTCCATAATTGGTCATAGCTCCCATACAAGGTCTCCTCCCGAAAATCACTTAAACGCGCATAACTCATTACTAAATTAAGATATCAATATAAAATATACTCATATGCACAGAAATATTACTGTGAAAATTTTTTTCGATCGGTCCATAACTGGTCATAGCTCCCATACAAGGTCCCCTCCCGAAAATCACTTAAACGGACATAACTCATTGCTAAATTAAGATTTCCATATAAAGTTTGGCAGAAATATTGCTCATATACAGAGAAATATTACTGTGAAATTGTTTTCCTATCGATCCATAATTGATCATAGCTCCCATACAAGGTCCCTTTCAGAAAAACACTTAAAGGCACATGACTCATTGCCAAATAATGATATAAATAAATAATATTTTTGTTCATAAATACTATTTTGTAATGCAAAAAGCACTTAATGTTATTTCAAACATTTTTCACGATCGGTCTATATTTGGTCATATTTCTCATACTAGGTCCTGCCCCTAAAAGCGCTTTAACCGTATTTAACTATTTGCATTATCAATTTGTGTAGAACAAAATTATATATATGTATGTATTTTGAAAATCCTTAAATCTTTCACACACAAGCAAATACTAGATATCGCTAAAGCATATCTTAGGGCGCTATAAAAATTTAAAAGAAAGTGGAGTTTCTAATGTTCAATAAATCTTGGAATTGTAGTAGATTTAAGCTGTTTAAATCTTGGGATTTTTCTATTTATGACATGAGAAAACTTATTTCTACAAATATTTTATTAATTAGAAATGTATTAATACAAAAGTCC